ATAAAATAGGTTTAAATAGTTAATAAAACAAAATATCACATTAAATCCATAATCATTTTATTTTTTTTTCCACAAATATAACATCTAACTATAAAAAAAAATTAACTATCTTTTCAAATACAAAAATTTTAGCATATTAAAATAGCCAAAAATTAAAATAGCCTACTAAAATAATAATTTCTCAAACATCCACAATATTATTATTTTTGAATATGTAGACAAAAGTGACAAATAATATATAAACAAAATTCAACAACATTTAACCACAAATATATAATCTGCTCGACAAATAATCACAACTTCATCAATCCTTACAACAAGTTAAACTCTTAACTTCAAAAATCAAAATAGTTGTCAATTGCATGCCACTAAAAAAAAATATTCAATATGAAAAGTATACATTTTTTTTTTCAAAAAATTTATAAATGAATGACATTGCACTATCAATTTCAATAATGTAAATATAAATAATTTTACTGTGTAATCTAATAATAATAGGATAAATTAGCACATCATTCATAAGGATAATGCTCTCTCTAATGTATAGTAACTATTCATTTTTAAGAAAAGAACTTAGAGCTCATTTGAAAATTAACTATTTTAATTGATTTTTTTTTAAATTTTATTTATGAAAAGACATACAAAAAGGGAAAAGAGGATGATTTGATTGGATGTTTTGACTTTTTAACTATTTTAGCTCAAAAGCCAATATGCCAAACACCCTTAGTACAAAATATTCTTACGTTATATGCATACAAATTTTCTGGTAATAAACTTGAAAAAAAAGCTCTTTTATTATTATTCATAGATTAATTAATAAATTACCTATTTATTTAATTTTTTAGAAGTTTATTAATGTATTCATTAAGAGTAGGAACAATTAGTGAAAAGTCAGTCCATCCAAATAGGGTGTAATGAATTAAATTTAAGGTAAAATTTTATTTGGTGATAAGGACATGTTGGAGAAGGTTACTAGCGCCGGCGACAGCATGTGGTAATAAGCTAAAGAAATGTATGATATTCAATAGATAACTTGTTGAATGAGTGACATGTGTCACATTTCAAAAGATTTGACGAATTCAACAGATAGACAGATATGTTGATTTCAACAGATAGTTGTCCTTTTGAATAAATTATGTCATTTTAGCCTAAAGAGAATAGAGCTTGGGGCGAAATGATTCAAAAGATTTGAAAATGGACTTATGATCCAAGTGCCCTTAAGAGTACTGATTAATAAAACACGGGTACAAAAATAGAGAACTTATGTAACTTGAATAAGTTCAAAAAAGTAAATAAACTACTTTCATTTATTTATTTATTTTTTATACTTCCAAAAGAGGTCATAAAATTATTTAAAAGTTTTTGTCTCTAAAATATTTATAAAATTATTTATAAGGTGGCCCAAATCAAGTTGGAAGGACATGTCTTTCAAAAGAATATAGGATAAACTACGGCCTCGTTTGGCAAGTCAACATTTTAATAAAAAAATTAAAAAGTTATTAAAAAAGTCAAAAAATCTATAACTTATATTAAAAAGTCAAAGATTTCATTTTCTTTCTACTTTTTGCATATCTTTTCGTAAAAAGTCAAAAAGTCACCCCAAACATACTAATTTTTTTACCTCATATTTTAGCCAAAAAATTAAAAATTCAATAGATAACTTGTTGAATGAGTGACATGTGTCACATTTCAAAAGATTTGACGAATTCAACAGATAGACAGATATGTTGATTTCAACAGATAGTTGTCCTTTTGAATAAATTATGTCATTTTAGCCTAAAGAGAATAGAGCTTGGGGCGAAATGATTCAAAATTTTTGAAAATGGACTTATGATCCAAGTGCCCTTAAGAGTACTGATTAATAAAACACGGGTACAAAAATAGAGAACTTATGTAACTTGAATAAGTTCAAAAAAGTAAATAAACTACTTTCATTTGTTTATTTATTTTTTATACTTCTAAAAGAGGTCATAAAATTATTTAAAAGTTTTTGTCTCTAAAATATTTATAAAATTATTTATAAGGTGGCCCAATCAAGTTGGAAGGACATGTCTTTCAAAAGAATATAGGATAAACTACGGCCTCGTTTGGCAAGTCAACATTTTAATAAAAAAATTAAAAAATTATTGAAAAAGTCAAAAAATCTATAACTTATATTAAAAAGTCAAAGATTTCATTTTCTTTATACTTTTTGCATATCTTTTCGTAAAAAGTCAAAAAGTCACCCCAAACATACTAATTTTTTTACCTCATATTTTAGTCAAAAAACTAAAAAATTATTAAAATAGCCTGTTCTCAAATGAGCACGTAGATGAAAGAAAGATAAAAAAAATTACTAACACATTATAGTCTTTCATTTATATCCTGTCACAGATACATTTACACCCCTCATATATTAGTATTTTTTTTTTCTCATTCTTCCACCTCAAAAATATGTAATAATTAGTGTATTTGGTTTCAGTTTTTTGAAAATTTAGTTTTTTTATTTTTCATGTTTTTTCATTTTTAGTGACTATTTAAAAAATTTTCAGTAATTTTTTTAATTTTTTAAATATACCTTACTTAAATAGATCTAAATAGTAAAATATTTGTAAAAAAATATTTTAAAAATTAATAAATACACAAAAATATAAAAAATAAATTAAATTTTTGTATTTTTTTAATATTTTTCATATTTAGTGAATTTTTTTAATTTTTTTAAAAATATTATACTTTTTAAGTATATTTATATTAGGTAAGTTTAAAAATTAAAAAAATTCATTAAAAATAAAAATATATACAAAATAAAAAAAATTAAATTTTTTTAAAAATATTTTCTTACAATCAAAACCAAACTGAATGGTATTCCATACGCAACAGAATTAGTTGGTTTTGGGGGTCACCTTTGGAAAAAAAAACAGCCAATGAACATTAACAATGATATATCTCGTTAATTTGGGAGTACTAATGGACCACTAATGAAGTGAAAATTTTAAAAAAAAAAAAAAAACAAAAAACTTAACATCAAAACATCACATCAATCAATGGAACCTACTCTCTAAAGCTCCTTTAGTGTTCCCAATTTAAAACTCTCAAATATTTTTCCCATGAACACAGACTTGTATACAGAGACGGATAAAGGCGGGTAATGGGTTTAGTGACACGTGTACGACTAAAAACAGTTGGTTTGACTTTTTGAAATTGCAGATTGGTAAATTGTAGTAGGGGCGAAGTACAATTATAGGAATCTTGAGGACTTTCTTCAATTATTTTTTCAATTATACTTTTACTTGACTTCTGAAAGAAATGACTATGCTCAAGGGGCGAGGAAAATTTTCGAACAAGGCAATATGATTCATCGATTTGCCCAAGAAAATAGCTATTACGGGTATTTTGGAAGATTTGGAGGGTCCATGTTGCTCCCAAAAAATGGAGTTTTTTTTTTTTTTTTTTGAACTGAAAAAATGGAGTTGTTTTATGCTTTAATTGGAAAAATAATAATTTTCTCTCCAATTCAAGTTTTAAAGTGCAAATTACACTATTTTGAGACATAAATAGCGTTGTTGGTGTTGAAAATAAACTAAATGAAAATTTTTGATTAAAAATTATATTTATCATGATTGTAAAAGATCAAATCGTACAAAAAAAGCTTAGGTTACGTAAGTTGAAACATATGATGTCAGAGAGAGAAAGAGAGATATGATTTGATAAAAAAGAAAATAAGATTGAGAAGAGAGAAAAAGTAATCTCATATCTATATAAAACCGAATAAAAGTATAAAAGAAAAACAACGATTATAATTAGAATAATATTATATGTATCAATTAGTGTATTAATATCAATTGATAATGTAACATAATTTAAAAGATTTTTGGTATTTGTAATGTAATTAATGAATGAGGTTAATAATAATATCATAACTAGTATTAATACACTAATTAGTATACTAATTAGCGCATATAATACCACCATTATAATTATTGAATAGAAGCTTTATACTGTGATCTATAGCTAAACATGAGACTCAACCCTATCTGGGTAAAATTCAACAGCCAATTGATGGCTTTGAATAACCAAAATGTTGGAAATTCTTTTTCAGAGATACCATAGACATTTTGAATAATCAATTTTCTTAAGAACTAATTGTAAAGAGCCCATTGACAGCTTTCTAAAATTCTATTAATTTAAAGTAAAATCCTTACTACATTTAGGATTCATTTATTTTGTTTTCCAATTCAAAATGCTAGAAAATGGTCTATATTCATCATGTACACTATACATCATCCCAGGATTACACATAATAATGTATAGAAAAATTTATATATTCATTATATAATCATTTAAGATTTATAGACCAATCGTTTACAATATATATATATATATATATATAAATTTAAAATTTTCATGAAATAAAGTTAGGGACGGCTAGGCTTCAAATTTCATAATAGTGTATGGATTAAAAATTCCATAAACATGAGCATTATACCAAGCTAATCTCTCTATAAAAAAAAAAAATTAAAAATTGCATGCACAAAGCAAATGTATATTTTCTAAGGTGTAATTTACAATTTGCAATTAAAAATTTAAGCTCTAAGAAATAACGAGTAGATTCTCTCTAAGTAATAACGATCCCATATTTCTCAATGCATATGAGATAAGTGGGTACAGTGAGATGTTAGGTGAATGTAAAATATACTCTCCTCATAAATTGAAACTTTTAAAAGGGGAAAAGCGTTATTTAAATTTTTTTTGAGGCCTCACTAAATATAGCCAAAAATTTGAGGGGGTTCATGTAATTAACAAAAATATTTAAAAATAAAAAAAGAAGCCAACCGCCACATGGTGGTTGCGTAGACTATGGCAATGGCCCCACTCAATCCATTAATTACAAAATTACCCTTATCCGTACAAATTCCTTGCAATAATGCCCTTCCTTTTACCAAACAACCCCCCCCCCTCTCTCTCTGTCTCTCTCTCCTCTCAGAAGTTATTTCTTATGTGCCAAAGTTTTCTTGGTCCAAAGCATTAGCAACACCACCACTCAAGCAAAACAAAGATGGACCCAAAGTTCGCCGGAAAGGCCGTCGCGGCCCCGTATTCGGGGCGGACCGACATCGACCAGATGCCGGACACACCAAACCGAGGGGCCCACCACAGGCGGGCCCAGTCCGAAACCTTCTTCCGATTCCCGGATGACATCCTCCTCGACGATGTCGTGGCCGACTTCAACCTCGCTTCCCTCGATATCCCCTCTCTCTCCTCCGACACCGAAGCCAACGCCCCCATGGCCCTTGATTCCTCCAAATCGGACTCATCCAACGGCGGAGACAAGTCCAAGCCCACCAGGTCCACTGGCCCCACTCCCCACTTCCGCAGCTTGTCCGTCGGCGCCGACTTCTTTGAGGGCTTAGAGTTCACCTCCGGCGATGGCGCCGCCGTCGCCGCCGAATCCGAGAGATTTGGCGGGAAGCCGCCGGCGGCCAGCCATTATCGTCACAGGCACAGTAACTCGATGGACGGCTCGATGTCGTCGTTTGAGGCCGATTCATCGGTGATGATCGATGGAGTTAAGAAGACCATGGCTCCTGATCGGCTCGCTGAGCTCGCTCTCCTTGATCCCAAGCGAGCTAAAAGGTTTTTTTTGCTGTGTGTGTGTGTGTTGTGTAATTGGGTTGAATAAACTAGGAATATTACCTTCCTTTGTATCCATTTCTTTCTGTGATTTAAGTGTTTTTTTTTTTTTTTTTTTTTTTTTTTTTAAATCTCTGTTTCACAACATAACAAAAAATAATACACAACATTTGTTATGTAAAATAAGTAAAAATAGAACGGTCAAAATTGGGTTGATAAATATCATTTTCTTTTACACAGAGAGAGAGAGAGAGAGGGAAAGAGAGAGAAAAAACAAAAAAGAAAAAAAAAAGAAGAAGAAAGGCTGAACTTTAAGTCCCATATCTTCTGCTATATATTTTTTTCCCTGGAAAATGGGAAAACAAAGTTTTAAATTCCTAGAAACTACAACAAATAACATAGGATTCAGCGGTTTGATTTGTTAGTATTTTTTTACTCTCGATTTTTTTAGTAATCATATTAAGTAGGTTGGTTGAGAAGAACCTAAATGTAACTGTCAATGGGTAATGAAAACAATTGTGCTACTTTGAAATAGACAAGTTGATTTTTTTTTTTATTTTTTTTATTTTTTATTTTTTTGAGCTTACATGTTTGTTTGTTTGTGTTATTTGTAGAATTCTTGCGAATCGACAATCTGCGGCACGTTCAAAGGAGCGAAAAATACGATATACAAACGAGCTGGAGAGGAAAGTACAGACCCTTCAGACGGAAGCTACCACCCTCTCTGCACAGGTCACAATGCTCCAGGTATTTTGACTCTCTCTGCGTTACTTTTTACAATAGAGTATACAGAAAAGCCGCTGCTATATAATCAGACTGATGATTTGAGGCAAGATCTTATGCAAATTAATGGTGAACCTTGTGGTCATGTACGCTGACTATGAGCTTTGGAAACTTGTGTTTCCTATGTTATTAGGGCTGCAATTCGGGTGGTTCTATTGGGTTAGTGGCCCTAGCGAAATGCACAAAGGTTTTCCCTGGTCCACCCAACCATAAACTGAACCCCTTGCCCAAAGTACTTTGGCCAAACCCGAACCTGAGCCTGACCAACTAAATTTGGATTTAACTCGGGTTGTGTGACTAACGTATTCTGCTCATTCATCATATTAATGTTCTAGCCCACTGATACATCATATTAAAGAAAGATGCGTGTGGATTAATAACATTCTATAAGAGTATATATACATGCATGGATACATAATAAACATTAAAGATAGAAAGAGAAATTTTGGAAAAAAGAATTCATCAAATTAGAAGCTCCGTAAAAACAAAGAAGAAAAGAGAGGAATAAAGCAAGAGCAGCTTGGTTTAATATAAATAGAGAAAAAAGAAGTAAAAAAAAAAAAAAAAAGCTTCATGCATTGATTAATTGATGACATATAGATACATATGCATGTATGTACCCAACAAATATTTCCATGTACCACTATATATGAGAAAAAGAGAGAAGGTGAATAAAAACCAATGTCAAGCTGTGGGTGCCAAAGGGTTTGTGAAGGAGTGCTGGTGATGAGATGACATTGTGATAGCAAGAATTGGTGGGGGTTGCTTAATTGTTAGATTATCATTGGTCCCAAAAACTTGAGTAGTTGGAAAAGGGTCCAACAATATGTATCATGCTCTCAACATCCTCTCTCATGTGTAACCCTATCTTGCATGTAAAGATGCAAACATCCAAATATGTATAGAAACTGAATGCAAATGACAAATAAATGCAAACGGAGATACCTGATCCTTTGATCTCGTAACTTTACCTTTGACATCATTTTATAGCACCACTAATCTCAAAATCTTGAGTTGTAAGGCAATGAATTCAACAATACATATCAATCTATCTAACATCCGACCTCGTAATTTTCATCTTGCATGTGGACATGCAAACAAACATATATAAAGAGAAGCAACATGCAAACGGGAACAAATGCAAACAGAAATATTCGAACCTAAGACCTTCACTAACTTGAACTCCTATGATATTATGTTAGATCACTAATTGCCATGTGAGAGAGGGTGTTGAATAATTGCTTCGGCAGATGATTTATCGTATTTTTGCCTGATTTAAGTTCGAATCATCTGCCGAAGTCGAATCATCTCTGGGTCTTCTTCTGCCGAAGTGAGTTCGAATCATTTTCCTTCTTCTGCCGAAGTGAGTTCGAATCATCTGGGCCCTAGATCGAATCATCTGCCGAAGTCGATCGTCTGCCGAAGTCGAATCATCTCTGGGTCTTCTTCTGCCGAAGTGAGTTCGAATCATCTGGGCCCTAGATCGAATCATCTGCCGAAGTCGATCGTCTGCCGAAGTCGAATCATCTCTGGGTCTTCTTCTGCCGAAGTGAGTTCGAATCATCTGGGCCCTAGATCGAATCATCTGCCGAAGTCGATCGTCTGCCGAAGTCGAATCATCTCTGGGTCTTCTTCTGCCGAAGTGAGTTCGAATCATCTGGGCCCTAGATCGAATCATCTGCCGAAGTCGATCGTCTGCCGAAGTCGAATCATCTCTGGGTCTTCTTCTGCCGAAGTGAGTTCGAATCATCTGGGCCCTAGATCGAATCATCTGCCGAAGTCGATCGTCTGCCGAAGTCGAATCATCTCTGGGTCTTCTTCTGCCGAAGTGAGTTCGAATCATCTGGGCCCTAGATCGAATCATCTGCCGAAGTCGATCGTCTGCCGAAGTCGAATCATCTCTGGGTCTTCTTCTGCCGAAGTGAGTTCGAATCATCTGGGCCCTAGATCGAATCATCTGCCGAAGTCGATCGTCTGCCGAAGTCGAATCATCTCTGGGTCTTCTTCTGCCGAAGTGAGTTCGAATCATCTGGGCCCTAGATCGAATCATCTGCCGAAGTCGATCGTCTGCCGAAGTCGAATCATCTCTGGGTCTTCTTCTGCCGAAGTGAGTTCGAATCATCTGGGCCCTAGATCGAATCATCTGCCGAAGTCGATCGTCTGCCGAAGTCGAATCATCTCTGGGTCTTCTTCTGCCGAAGTGAGTTCGAATCATCTGGGCCCTAGATCGAATCATCTGCCGAAGTCGATCGTCTGCCGAAGTCGAATCATCTCTGGGTCTTCTTCTGTCAAAGTGAGTTCGAATCATTTTCCTTCTTCTGCCGAAGTGAGTTCGAATCATCTGGGCCCTAGATCGAATCATCTGCCGAAGTCGAATCATCTCTGGGTCTTCTTCTGTCAAAGTGAGTTCGAATCATTTTCCTTCTTCTGCCGAAGTGAGTTCGAATCATCTGGGCCCTAGATCGAATCATCTGCCGAAGTCGAATCATCTCTTTTAAAAAATCATAATATATCTTCTAAAGATGTTTAAGATTAAAGTTACACTATGAATTATCTATTACTATTTTATTAAATTGAATATTACACGTGTGAGGTCAGTTATACTTTTTAAAATGTTTTAGGCTTTAAAATAAAAGACTCTAAATAATTCCTTCTTATTATTTGCTCACTGTTACTTAGAAAAGTATATATGTTTATTGTCCAAATATCAACATTGTTATTAATTATTCTTACTTTGAAAATTGATAGTTTGTCTGTTTGGTTACTATCTTTATTAAGAATGGTTGATAAAAAATATCTAAAAAAGAAAAAAGGCAAGATGGTGATATTACATCTTTATTAAGAATGGTTGATAAGAAATATCTAAAAAAGAAAAAAGGTAATATGGTGATCTTACATAGGAACCTTTATTAACTTCTTATCCTACTAAACTACCTGATTATTATTCAAAATAACATTTTTATTGATTTAAGTCTAAATGTTTTATATTTATAACATATATTTATCATCTAAATGTGTAGATATATGTTTTAAAGTAATTTAGAAAAAGTGACCGAATCTTTACGATTCACGATTCGATTCGATTCGCGATTCGGTACAAGACCATTTCGATTCACGATACGAATCCCGATTTGACAACTATGGCTGAAACATTGAATTGCTTGTTGGATATAATTAATGAATTGCTTGAAAATATTTATATTTTTATCTATATCATTTATTTTTAAAAAATATCATTTTTGGTCGCCTCGCTTCGATGAAGCCCTTGCCTCGCCTCGCCTCGCGCTTAGGCATTCGGTGACCTTGTCGCCTCGATTCGCTTTTCGCCTTAAATAACACTGGGTATAATCCCTCTTACTTGGTACTCCCATCGTCCCAATTTGGTAGTTCCTTTTGGGAGTTCTAACTTTTTAAGGGAACGTGCAATTATTGCACTTTAATTCAAATTTCAAAGCACTGATACTATAATTGTCACGACCCGAACCCGCCCCTATGGGTTAAGGACGTAACCGGCCAGTAATCCTGAGATTACCTACGGCCTCAAACCAAAATAGACATAACTCGACAGAGTAAAGGGGCCAAACGGAAGCAATAATCAAAAACTTTGTCCATAAAGCTATGCTTATAATAACGCCCACTTAGTACACATTAATGTGTGTTTGGGAGGGTAAAGATTGAGTCCACACCTAACCTTTGGCATAATATACAAAGTGGTGGTCTCAAGACTTGAACCCATAACCTCAAGGTTATATGCACTACAAAACAAACCATACTCATATACGTTAATAACCCACAACAAGTACAGTATCACAAAATCCTTTACATTCAGGATCATCCAAGCTGAGTCAACCCATATTAAAACTATATACAAATGTACACAAAGTCCTTGCCAACAAAACAAACTATAAATACATAACAAAATGGCAAGGATGGGTCTCGTACGTGAGACACAAGGCTGACTCTCCAAAACTCATGTTGTTCCTGGCAGACTTCACTGGGGCTGAGTTTAGACTTCCCTCGACTCACCTACAAACACATGAATGAGCGTAAGCGATAGCCCAGTGAATAATATCGAATACATAAATTACATAAGCAATATGAAGAACAACATGCTCCGAACGGCCTTGGGCCCAATACATATTTCTGCTTAACATATATACACTTATACAAAATTCAGATCAAATGACTGTAGTTCCAAACATACTGGCCTTTGGCCCAATCATTTACGTCAAAACGGCCTTCGGCCCATTCATTTACGTCAAAACGGCCTTCGGCCTATACATTCGTGTCAAAACGACCTTAGGTCCATTCATTTATGTCAAAACGGCCTTCGGCCCACTCATTTCTATCAAAACGACCTTCGGTCCATTCATTTCTATAATGTCAAACTTTTGTCCACAATCCCAATTAGCAACCCATAAAGCTTATAAGGGAAATAACAATTGGACATTGACAAGCTTTCAAATGTCGATATTACTCACAGTGATCGGCTTGTGGATTCACCCTGGAGCTTGACCCTACACATTTCATGAACACAAAAGGGTCATTATCAATTCAACCCGTTCTTTAATTCACATATTCCTCTTTAGGTTTTATTCTTATCTCATTAACTCATTTACAATGCTTAACACATGCCGAAGAGTGCTTACAAGTGAAAGAGAACAGAAAACAAAACACAGAAAGAGCATATAAAATTTCAAAAAACAGGGTCCCCGCTCAAGCGTCAACTTTCCCGCTCAAGCGGATCCTTAAGGCCTGCAAAAGTACTAGTTGCATGAAAAATACGCTCGGGCGTGGAATAGAGCGCTCGAGCGGAAGGCCTGTCTGCAAAACTCCCGCTCGAGCGTGATATATCCCGCTCGAGCGGACATCCAACTCTGCAAAAGTGCTGGGAGCACGATTTCTTCGCTCGAGCGGCCCTTCTCCCGCTCGAGCGGAAGTCAAAATTCTGGAAATTTCAGGTT